AGAATCAACAGCTGTAGAGTTAAGAAACAGCGCTCCTCTATCGTTTTCTGGAAGAGATTTGATTAACTAAAGAACATTAATCGCGAAAAAAACCCAACAACCCCAAACAAACAAAAAGCAGCAAAACACAGCAACCCAAACCCCTAAACCAAACTGAGTGCACAAACAAAGTACCGTACTCGAAATTATGCATCTAAGGAAAAGAGTAGACTCTAGCACAGTTCTTTTTAATCATAATGTGACAAAGTAAAAGACTGGCACAGTTCTTTTTAATCACAATGTGACAAAGTAAAAGACTGGCACAGTTCTTTTTAATCATAATGTGACAAAGTAAAAGACTGGCACAGTTCTTTTTAATCACAATGTGACAAAGTAAAAGACTGGCACAGTTCTTTTTAATCATAATGTATCAAAGAGCCCTTCTACATACAATACGTGGAGGAAGGCAGGCCTAGATTCTACTAAAGTGAAAGCCTGGCTGTTGAAATGTACCGAAACTATAGCCCTTATGGGGTGGATGCTCTGCTGAATGTACTTTTTAAGTTCTAAACTCTTTGCCCCAGGCCTACACTAACATTCATACAGTATTTTGTGAGTCCCGAAGTATGTCCGGACTTGTTTATCACTTTTAAACTAAATTGTTGAATAACCAAAACGAAATGACCGAATTTCCACTGAACCTTGTGGGTTAAGATATGCCAACGAAAAAAATCAACAAAACCCAAACAAAAAACAACAACAACAAACAACGAAAACAACAACCGCAAAAAAAGAAAAGAAAAAAAAGAACCCCCAACAATAAAACTACCGCTATAAGTTCAAGTAAATAAGGGTGGTATTTACATATATTAACCTTCTTTTTTTTTCTTCTACCATTGAGCGCCTCTATCGCTTTGTAGAGATGATCATCTATCTAGCAAGACGGGCACAGCTCCCCGCATAGTTATGTATCACCGCACTAAACCACCGTAGTCAGGGGACATTGGGAGATATCCCTCTCTGTCCTGTAACTAAGTCACTGACGAACGATAAAATGGCCTAGGCTACCAATGACGAACGATAGAATGGCCAAGGCTACCAATGACTGATAGAATGGCCTAGGCTACCAATGACTGATGATAGAATCGGGGGTCCCTTTTGTCGCCGTAGACGCTGGAAAAAAATCAGTCATCTTGTACTTGTACGATCAATGGCGGTTCATGCGGTGCGGAAAAGTGATCTTGGGTTTAGTAGTAGTATAGGGTTTTACGGCGCTCGCAACTGCTAAGGTCTTGGGTTTCAGCTTGAGAAGCTGGTAGTGTTTGTTAGTACATTGTAGTTCGGCTAAGAGGCACCTGGATCTTTTTGTTGTTGATCTTACCTGGGCTCTATTTTCTGTTCTTCTTTTAGGTGTTGAAAAGCCGTGTTTAGGCTTGAAACTGGGTGTATAGAGTCACTTTCCCTTTCATGTTTCATATCATTATACGATAATAATGTACAACAAATCTTATCTTGCAGACTACTCTTCCTATTTCACGTTTGAACTCCTCTTTGAAGCGGGTGGTAGGCTGGTGGTCTGGTGTGGTTTGCCCCTTCTTTCCCATCAAACATATGTCGTCCTCATCTCCCCTCCTTCTTTTTTGTGTTTGTTACTCTCTTGTAACACATCTAATCGTCGGCACTTATATGACCTTATTGTATTGCAAGTGCCGTAAAACTTTTACTAAAAACTTAACGAACTCTTTGAAGGGTTGGCATTTTGGAGAGATAGTTGCAGAGTCGTAGAGCAGCTCAACACGTAGGCCTATTTCGATTGTGTCGTACTCCTACTGCACTGCACGAGGGAAATACACATATCTAACAATATAATATTCAAAAGCAAGTTTGTGTTATCTCAAAAAAACCAACGGAGCAGAAGAGACAGTGAACAAAAGAACAAAAACTTCATCATGGGTCAGACTTTACAATGTCGTGATAGATTTGTGCGTGGGAGGAACAATATAAAGGTGCAGAATGTAAGACGTAAATGCTTGGACAAAGAATCAAGAATCTAAAAACAAGCCTCTTTTGACAGAGCATGTTGTTATCCTTCAACCAC